GCTGTCAAAGGAGTTTGTCAAATAGACAACAGGAGGGAGGATTGGAGCTGGGGTCCCAGCGGGGCGGGGGGGGGGTGGTCCTTGGGAAAGGCCAGGCCAGGATGCCCCGGGCTGGGGCAGCAGGTTATCCCAAAAGGGGATAACCCTTGCAGCATCGTTAAGTTTATCCACATTCCTGCCTGAGATCTCTGGCCCCCAAGTGTATGACTGCCCCCCTCCCAGCAATCACATGCAAATATATGCAGAAATATGCAGATATCACAGAACCACCCTGACTGCTCCTTTTCCTCTCTCTCTCTCCCTGCCTCTCTCCCTCTCTCTCTCCTACTCTTCCCCCCCCCCCCCCCCCTTGCTTTCTTTCTCTTGTCCTGGGGCTTGAACTCAGGGCCTGGGCACTGTCCTTGAGCTTTTTTTACATCAAGGCTGGTGCTCTACCACTTGAGCCACAGCTCCACTTCCAGCCTTTTTTTTTTTCTTTTAGTATTTTAGTAGAGATCAGAGTCTCACGGACTTTCCTGCCCAGGCTGGCTTTGAACTGTGATGCTCAGATCTCAGCCTCTCGAGTAGCTGAGATTACAGGCGTGAGCCATCAGCACAGGTCCGGTTACATTTCTTAAGAAACAGCAGCATAAAGCAATGTGCCACTGGTAGCCAGATCTCCACCTGCAGTACCGCATACCAGTAAGGCTGGTGGCCATGAAGACAGTCAGTTTGATCTTCCTGCATGTTGACTTATTTTGAGTCTGGCCACAGTCAATATCAAAATTGAAACCGGGCCCAGGGGCGCAGACAGGAGTCTATAACCCTAGCTACTCGGGAGACAGAGACAGCCAAGTAAGAGCTTGCCTTCCATCGGGATGCATTGTATGAATGTGTAGGGAATGTCACAATAAAACACCCCCTTGTATAACTAATGTATGCTAATCAAAAATGAAATGTAAATGATCTCACTGGTTCAATTCAATATTGATTGTCGGGAGGGCTGGAGTAAAGCTAGAGCCAACTAACTGTTATTTTCAAGAATTAACACTCAGGCTGGGAGGCTGGTGGCTCACGCCTGTCATCCTAGCTATTCAGGAGGCTGAGATCTGAGGATTGCGGTTCAAAGCTAGCTTGGGCAGGAAAGTCTAAGAGACTTAACTACAATAAACTCAAAAAAGCCAGAAGTGGTGCTGTGGTTCAAGTGGTAGAGCGCACTGGCCTTGAGTGAAAAGAACCTCAGGAACAGCACCCAGGCCCTGGGTTCAAGCCCCCAGGCCTGGACTTGGTCTTTAAGGAATCATGTTCTAAAAGGCTCAGTAGCATGGCACATGCCTGTAATCCTGGCACTTGGAAGGATCTTGATTTCTAAGTCAACCAGCCTGGGCCATTTACTATCATTCAAAAACAAACAAACAAAAAGCCTGGTGCCGGTAGCTCTAATCCTAGCTACTCAGAAGACTGAAATCTGAGGTTCACAATTTGAGGCTAGCCCAGGTAGGAAAGTCCGGGAGACTCCTATCTCCAATAAACAACTTAAAAGAGCCAGAAGTGGCACTCTGGCTCCAGTGGTAGAGCGTTAGCCTTGAGTGAAAGAAGCTCAGGGGCAGTTCCCAGGCGCCGAGTTCAAGCCCTAGGACTGGCAAAAAACAAGACAAAACAACAAAACAAGGGCTGGGAATGTGGCTTAGTGGTAGAGCGCTGGACTAGCATGCATGAAGCCCTGGGTTCGATTCTTCAGTACCATGTACACAGAAAAGACCAGAAGTGGCGCTGTGGCTCAAATAGCCTTGAGCAAAAGAAGCTCCGGGACAGCTCCCAGGCCCTGAGTTCAAGCCCCAGGACTGGGGAAAAGGAAAAAAAAAAAAAAAACCAAAGAAAGAATTGTGATGACATTGGCACTCTTGAAAATCTAGAACAACCTTCCCTTCTGGAGATCCTTCTTTTTATTTTAATTTTTTTGGTAGGTCATGAGGCTTGAACCCAGGTCTGGGCACTGTCCCTGACAGCTCAAGGCTAGCACTCTACCACTTGAGCCACAGCACCCATTCTGGTTTTCTGGTGGTTAATTCAAGATAAGAGTCTCACAACCTTTCCTGCCCGGCTTGGCTTTGAACCACGATCCTCAGATTTCAGCCTCCTGCGTAGCTAAGATTCCAGGCGTGAGCCTGTCTCTGAGCTCTTTTGTTCAAGGCTTTCGCTCCACCACTTGAGCCACAGCCCCAGTTCTGGTTTTCTGGTGGTTCCTTGGAGATCAGAGTCTCATGAACTTTCCTGCCCAGGCTGGCTTGGAACCATGAGCTTTGGATCTCAGCCTCCTGCGTAACTGGGATGACAGGCGTGAGCCACTAGCACCCGGCTGAAGTCCTTCATTTTATGGCATCTGCAAAGTCTCTTTTGGCATGTAAGGTAAGATATTCACAAATTCCTGGGGTTACACTTTGTGGGGTTTTTTTTGGGGGGGGGACAGGGCTATTATTCTGCCTTCCTCAAACATTAACATTACACTTATTAACATGAACATTCAGCATTAACATTCTGAAAACTAGAACAAACTGTCAGACTACAACCGAACACAGAACACTCAACAAAACACACCGTTCACTGCGGTGCATAAAGGTCTCAGTAAATTTCAAAAGAAGACCGAAATCAATGGAGTATATTCTCAGACTACAAAGGGTTTAAATGAGAAATCCATAATAGATTTGGAAGCAAACAATATACTTTTAAATAACAAGGAAAATGGCAAAAATATTTTGCACTGAATAAAAAGGAAAATACAATTCGTGTATTTGTTGCCAGGAGTGGGGAGAATTCTGGAGATTTAAATGTATACACATATATATATATATATATACATATATATATGAAGAAGGAAGGATAAAAGTCAATCATCTAAGCTTCTACCTTAAGAAGCTAGGAAGAGAGGAGCAAATGAAAACAGACAGGAGAAAGGAAATGATAAGATTAGAAATCAATAATAGTGTGGGTTTTTTTTTTTTTTTTTTTAAGGCAAATGGATCGGGGCACCGGTGGCTCACGCCTGTCATCCTAGCTACTCAGGAGGCTGAGATCTGAGGATCACAGTTCAAAGTCAAGCCTGGGCAGGAAAGTCTGTGAAACTCTGATCTACAACAAATCACTTAGAAAATTGGAAGTGGTGCTGTGGCTCAAGTGGTAGAGCGCTAGCCTTGAGCTGAGAAGCTGAGGGACAGCACCCAGGCCCAGAGGTCAAGACCCATGACAGACCAAAAAAAAAAAAAAAAAAATGGAAGTATGAAGGGCTGGAGGTTGTGGCTCAAGAAGCTGAGCATCTGCTTAGCAAGAGCAAGGCCCTGAGTTCAGATTCCAGTGCAGGGCTGTGTGGGGGGGTGTGTGTTTGCATATTCTATATAGTTTCTGCTGTTATTAAATTATGTGCCAAGCAAAGGTAACACATTGACAGAAAGTCATAATCTGGGGCTGCAGACAAAAAACTCACGCCTGTCACCCTAGGGACCCAGGAGGCTGAGACCTAAGGATTCAAGTTCAAAGCCAGCCCAGGAGAGACAAATCTGAGAGGCCCTTACATCCAATTAACCAGCAAAAAGCTGGACGTGGAGCTGTGGTTCAAATGGTAGAATGCCAGGCTTGAGACAAAGACCCAGGCCTGGAGTTCCAGCCCCAGCCCTGGCACCCCACGAATAATTTCCTGGTTCACCCAAGCTTCACAGAGCCCCACTCCTCCTGGCCTCCTCCTCCCAGCTCCCCCTTCCTGGCCCCCCCTCCTCCTGGCATCCCCCCATCCCCCCTCTGCCCAGCCTCTCCCCAACCTCCCCCCTGTCAGTCTCCCCAGCCCCCCTCCTCCCACCTTCTTCCCTCCCAGCTCCCCTTCCCACCCCTTCTTCCCACCCCCCTTCTCCCGACCTCCCCCCCCAGCCTTCCTAGCCCCTCTCCTCCCAGCATCCCCCCATCCCTGCCCAGCCTCCCTCCCCAGCCTTCCCCCCTCAGGGGCTCCCGCCAGCCTCCCCCTCCCGGGCTCCCCCCCAGCCTTCCCCCCTCAGGGGCTCCCCCCAGCCTCCCCCCCTCCCGGGTTCCCCCCAGCCTCCCCCCTCAGGGGCTCCCCCCCTCCCCCCCTCCCAGGCTCCCCCCTCCCGGGCTCCCCCCAGCCTCCCCCCTCAGGGGCTCCCCCCAGCCTCCCCCCTTCAGGGGCTCCCCCCAGCCTTCCCCCCTCAGGGGCTCCCCCCAGCCTCCCCCCCCTCCCAGGCTCCCCCCTCCCGGGCTCCCCCTTCCCCTCCAGTCCTCGCTGCTCCCGCTGCTCGCGTTCCTCAGTGTTCCCGGCCAGTCTGATGTCATCCAACCCCGGGCCCGTCCGGGGACCCTGCTCCCCGCACACGGGCGCACTGCACGAATGCACGCGCAGGCACACGCACACACAGATGCATCTGCACACGCACGCGCGCTCAGGCACACGTACACACGTACACACGTGCACGCACACACAGCTGCATCTGCACACGCACGCACGCGCAGGCACACGCACACACAGCTGCATCTGCACACGCACGCGCGCGCACACCATCCACCCGTGCGCACACACATGCACAGACGCACGCGCGCACGTGATCGTCCGTGTGCACTCACGTGTGCTCACACACGGACACCTGCGCGCACAGGCACCCGCGCGCACACCCGCACGGACCTCGGCGCGCGCGCAGGCACAGTGTGCTCACACATGACACACGCGCGTGCGCAGGCTCGCGCACAGCCTGGCAGGGCGCGGAGGCGGAGGGGGCGGGGCAGGAGGTGGGCGGGGCCGGAGGTGGGCGGGGCGGAGCGGGTGGAGCAGAGCTGGAGGCGGGCGGGGCGGAGCTCGAGGTGGGCGGAGCTTGGCGGTGGGCGTGGCTACGGGAGGGCGTGGCCGCGCGCAGCCCCGCCCCCGGGCCCCGCGCCGGCCGGCCGTCCCCGTGGCGCTGACGCGTCGGGCGCGCGGCGGGGCCGCGGGGCGCGGGCCGGGCGCGGGCGGCGGGCGGGCGGGCGGCATGGAGAGCCTGCTGGAGAGCCCGGTGCGCGCCGTGCTGTACCTGAAGGAGCTCACGGCCATCGTGCAGAACCAGCAGAGCCTCATCCACACGCAGCGCCAGCGCATCGACGAGCTGGAGCGGCGGCTGGACGAGCTGAGCGCCGAGAACCGCAGCCTGTGGGAGCGGCAGCGGGGGCCGCCGGCCCAGCCCGCGCCCGCGCCCGCGCCCGGGCCCGCGCCGCGCCCGCCCGCCGCGCCCGAGCCGCCGCCGCCGCCGCCGCCGCCGCCTCAGCACCACGGACAGCGCCCGGCGCAGCCGCAGCCCGGCCCCGGCGCCCGCGCGCGCGCCGCCTCCCCGCCGCCGACCCCCGCGCCCGGCAAGGACAAGGAGCGGCCCCCGGGCTGCTGCGCCGCGGCGGGCGCGCTCCTCCCGCACAAGCCCCCCGCCGCCCTCGGCAAGGGCGTCCTGGGCCGGAGACCCGGGTGAGTGGGGCGCGGGGGGCGGGCCCGGAGGCCGCGGGGCGGGGAGACGGCGGCCCCGCGGGGCGCAGGGCGGCGGAGGGGGCTGGGGTCCCGGGTCGAGTGGGGGGCGGGGTGCTGGACAGGGCTGGGCAGGGCTGGGGTGCTGGACAGGGCTGGGCAGGGAAGGGCTGGGCTGGGGTGCTGGACAGGGCTGGGCAGGGCTGGGGTGCTGGACAGGGCTGGGCAGGGAAGGGCTGGGGTGCTGGACAGGGCTGGGCAGGGCTGGGGTGCTGGACGCTGGACAGGGCTGAGCAGGGCTGGGGTGCTGGACAGGGCTGGGCAGGGCTGGGGTGCTGGACAGGGCTGAGCAGGGCTGGGGTGCTGGACAGGGCTGAGCAGGGAAGGGCTGGGGTGCTGGACAGGGCTGGGCAGGGCTGGGGTGCTGGACAGGGCTGAGCAGGGCTGGGGTGCTGGACAGGGCTGGGCAGGGCTGGGGTGCTGGACAGGGCTGGGCAGGGCTGGGGTGCTGGACAGGGCTGAGCAGGGCTGGGGTGCTGGACAGGGCTGGGCAGGGCTGGGGTGCTGGACAGGGCTGGGCAGGGCTGGGGTGCTGGACAGGGCTGGGCAGGGCTGGGGTGCTGGACAGGGCTGAGCAGGGAAGGGCTGGGGTGCTGGACAGGGCTGGGCAGGGCTGGGGTGCTGGACAGGGCTGAGCAGGGAAGGGCTGGGGTGCTGGACATGGCTGGGCAGGGCTGGGGTGCTGGACAGGGCTGGGCAGGGCTGGGGTGCTGGACAGGGCTGAGCAGGGCTGGGGCGCTGGACACCGGACAGGGCTGAGCAGCAATGACGATTGGGAAGAAGTTGAGGGTAAGGACAGCACCGAAGAGCAGCCTCGGTGGAGACCGACATTGTGGGGATGGGAGGAAGGAGTTGGGGTGGTAGAATCATTTAAATGAGATATGAAAATCTAACCACGACACAGAAAGGGGAATGCTTAGCCAAGAGGCGTGCGAGGCGCTTTTCAGAGGACCCGGAGTGCGTCCAGGGTGCTGCTCGTGGTGGTGGTGGTGGTGGTGGTGGTGGATTGAGCAGAATCAAGGGCCGAGGATCTGAAGACACAGGAGGCTCCAAACCCGGGGGGAGCCTTTCTCGTGAACCCTTGGGGGGGCAAGGTGGGAATGGAAACAGGCACCTGGACACTCCTGGAGGCTGGGCCCGGTTAGACCTCTCTCTTGCTGGCCCAGGAGGACATCTGAGCCGGGAGAAGGCAGGCGGGCGGCAGGCAGGCTCGTTCGGCTGCGGTGTCTCTGCAAACCGGTTATGGCTGGTGGTTTGCAAACGCTATTTCCTTTTTTTTTCCTGGAGAATGTTAACTGTCCCGAGGGAAATGTTAACCAACTCCCAAGTGGGAGATTCTAGAGCCTCAAGTGCTCTTTCTACCCCCCTTCCTCCTCCCCTCCCCCTCTTTTCCCAGTGAGATGGGAAGGGGGTGGGGGGGGAAGGAGGGCGGGAAGGAGGCCAGGTCATCTCCCTGCTCAGACAGGTGATGGGCCCCCTGGAGAAATCAGGATGCTTGAAGAAGTGAGGGAGGAGGGAGGGGGAGGAAGGGAGGGCGGGGGAGGGAGGAGGGAGGGGAGGGGAGGAGAGCTAAGAGTCTGGTCACTCACAAGTGTGCTTTCTGTGGGGGAGGGGAGGGAAATCCCTGTAAAAACCAGTGGTTTCCTTAAAAACCGCATTATCTCCCCTAGAATTGCCTTTTTAAATACTCTCGCCTTCCCCTCCCGTCTGCTGTGGATTAGACAAGGTGGATGGGGGGGGGGTATGTTTGACTGTTACCGTGGCATCTTAGGGGTAAAGATCTAGAATGATCTGGCTGAGCAGGTCCAGGGGCTCAGGCAGTGAAGTTTCCTCATCTACTTCCTCTTCCTACCTCCCTGGGTGTCTCCCTCATTTCCTGGTCTCTCCGTGGAGTTCCTGCCAGATCTTTTTCTCTCAGAGGACTTTGCCATGCCTGTCCAACCTCCCCCCCCCCCCCCCCCCCCCGGCCCCGCAAGTGACCTAGAGAGCACGGGCCTTCATGCGATCAAGGCCCGGTGATGTCTTCATCTCCCCTCTCCACCCCTGCCAGGCCTCAGCTTTCCCCAAGGAAGCAGGACAAAAGCGATAAATGTGTTCATGGAGAAAGTCATGCCCGTCTGGTGGCTCACGCCTGTCATCTCCGCTACTGACGAGGCTGAGATCTGAAGATCACAGTTTGAAGTCAGCCCAGGCAGGAAACTCTATGAGACTTTTATCTTCCGTTAACCCCCCAAAAAACGGAAGTGGAGCTGTGGCTCAATTGGTAGAACACCACCAGCCTTGAGCACAAAAAGTGCAGGGACAGCGCCCGGGCCCACAGTTTAAGATCCGAGACTGGCAAAAGAAAAAAAAGAAAGAAAGAAAAACAATGTTAGGTGAGTTAGGCACTTGGTGGCTTGGTATCGATAGTCCTACCTAACTCGGGAGGCTGAGAGCTAAGGATCTTGGTTCAAAGCCAACCTCAGGCCAAAAAAAGAAAAAAATCCATGAGGCTTTTATTTCCAATTAATCAGCCAAAAGGTGGAAGTGTGGCTCAAATGGGAGAGCATCCACCTTGAGCAAAAAAGCTCAGGGACAGTGCCCAGGCCCTGAGTTCAAGTCCACCCTCCCACGGCACTAAGAGGTTAATAGTGCCATCGAGTCCTTCCTTTCTTCTGCCTCCCCCTCCCCTTGTGACCTTTACTCACGGCTAGGCTGGTGGGTGCTTTTCGCCTGGTTCACGTCTTCTCCCATGGTTTTGCCTGATTCCACCAAGGTTTCCACACAGAACGCTGCAATGGACTCAGACGCTGCCCAGGGGCTGGGGCCCCACTCCAATCTCTACCCATGGCCACCTCCTACACGTTTGTCCCCCTTTGCACCCCAGCACGCCGTGCAGAGGTGGGGCCTGCAGAGAGCAAGGGAAAAACAACAGTGGAACCGGCCAGGGGAGGCCCCCATCCTCCCCTCCTCCCCAGCTCCAGAGGAGCACCCTGCTGAGTCAGTTCTCCACCAAGAAAGATGGAAGAGGAGGAGGAGGAGGAGGAGGAGGAGGAGGAGGAGGAGGAGGAGGAGGAGGAGGAGGAGGAGGGGAAGTTATGGCGGTGAGGACTTGTAATGGTGATTCTGTGTAAATCATTGCTCATTTCTTTGTGGCCAGGCACCACCGTGCTAATACTATGGGCCTCTCTCTCGCTCTCTCTCCCTCGTTCTCTCTCTCTTTCTCTTTGTTTCTGTGCTGGTCCTAGGGCTTGAACTCAGGGCCTGGGCCTTGTCCCTGAATTTTTTATTTTTATTTTTTGCTCAAGGCTCCGCGTCTGGCTTTTTAGTGGTTCCTTGGGAGATACGAGTCTCATGGACTCCCCCCACCCCCCAGGCTGGCTTTGAACCCTGATCCTCAGATCTCAGCCTCCTGGAGGAGCTCAGATGACAGGCGTGAGCCGTCAGCGCGCAGCTTTCTTGTCTTTCTTTCTGTTCTTCCTCTCCCTTATTCCTCTCTCTCCTCCTCCTCTTCTGCCCTGCCTTCTCTCCTCCCCTCCCTTGTGCTCTTCCCTTTGCTTCTGGAGCAGCAGGGTCATCTCTTTCCTCTCTGCCCTATCCTTGAAGCCCGGGATAATAATCCTCGTTTTCTCTTTGTGGGTGCTTTGTGTGCCCCAGCCCCTCGTGATGCAAACCTTGGAGTGGCCCCAGCTGGGCCTGAGGATGGCTGGCAGATCTCTGACCGTGTGTAAGACGCCGATCAGAGCCGAGGTCTGCTGCTTCTGGTTAGGGCCTTCAGGTTGAAGGTGGTCTCCAAGGCCGGCTTGTTGGGAGCCGTGATGGGCGGAGGCTGCCTCCCAGTTGGGGAGACGCGTCCAGTGTCTGTCCTGCGCCACTGTGCTGTCTGTACTGCTGCGGAAGCACAAGAGGGGAGCAGGTGGCCCCTCAGCCACATAACCAGGACTCGTACCTCCAAACACGGGGGCCAGGGGGCGGCGTTCAGCCTCTTAGGGCTCCCAGCACTCCGAAGAGCAAGAGAGCCTGGCACTTGTCAACCTCAGAGAGCTGAGGACCATGGTTCGAAGCCAGCCCAGGCAGGAAAGCCTGTGAGACTCTTCTCTCCAGCGAGCCCGCAGCTGTGGCACTGCGTTGGGTGTGTGGCGGCCCGGCTCTGCGGCCTGCAGCGCCTGCCTGCTGAGGAAGCGTTTGAGCAAGGCCTGCCAAGTGACCTTTCTCTTTTTCCTGGCCCTGTCCTCCGCGCTGAGACTCGCAAAGCGAGGCCAGCATGGACTCCGGGGCGGGGGTCAGTGGACACCCTCTTTCTGCTGTCCTGGACAGCACAGAGGACCCCCCTGACCCCCCTTTCTGCCTCCCCCCACCCCCCTCCAGGCCTCCTGGCACTACTTCCTCCTGGCCCCAAACCAAGCCATTGTTCCTGCTGACTCAGCACATAGCTGCACAGCCTGAATTCCATCAGGGTTAGGGAGAGGAGAGGGGAAGGAGGGAGGGGAGGGGAGGGGAGAGGGGAGCCGGAGCGGAGATGAGGATGAATAGCTGGGCCTGAAGACACTTAAATCTTGAATGTAGAATCCCAGTACAGGTCTGTAGGTTGATGCCATTATATTCAATGTATTTTTGCTCTTCGAGGTTTCAAGCATCTTTGGGTGTTTGATGGGTTTTTTGGGGGGAGGAGGAGGGGTGGTTGGTCATGGGGCTTGAACTCAGGGCCTGGGCGCTGTCCCTGAGCTCTTTGACTCAAGGCTGGCACTCTACCCCTTGAGCCACAGTGCCACTTGCGGTTTTCTGGTGGTTTATTGGAGATCAGAGTCTCACAGACTTTCCTGCCCAGGCTGGCTTTGAACCGCGATCCTCAGATCTCAGCCTCCTGAGTAGCTAGGATGACAGGCGTGAGCCACGGGTGCCTGGCTTCTTGGGTGGTTTTGAACCCAGGCAGTGCGAGCTTACTAAGGGCTTTCTTAGTAAAA